CCAATTTATATTTGTAACGAATAGTATTTGAATAAAAACATTCAATTGGGTAAAACCCGGGCATTGCCCGGGCCATTCGGCTAGTATGGTTATAAATCAGACGGTTCCATGAATCAAAGCCCACCCTGAACTGAAAGGGTTAAAGCCCTATTCCATGCTCTCCAGAAGGGCATTCTGAATCTTCCAAAGTAAGTGTTATGGCTTTGTCACCGAACTGAGTTTGGTAGATTTCAAAAACAGCCAATAGAAGACGCCTAATTTTTACTCTATTTAGAAAGAAAAGTTGTGTTTCTTTTATAGCCTATGGTTTAAGAAGGATTGCATAGGTAGGTACACTTTGCAGTTTGTACTATCCTTCATTAAGACCTCACGTGCGTACCCCTACATTGCCTTTATTGCGGGATGGCACCTAACTTGATCATGTTAGAATGTAATCTTAGATGTGGACATCTCCAGTAGCCTGCTTGGGTGTCGAATGACTTCTTCCAAACTCTCGACTGACTACCTCTACTCTAGATGTCCTGATCTTTCGTTTTAAAATGGGGAGATTTCATTTAAGCTGTATTCTTTGTCCTTTCAGTATCGCTTCAACAGATTGTATATGCAAATTCGGTACCTATTTCAGAGGCATGTGTTAATCTTCTCTGTAACCTCCCTACCGTAGGTTGTACCGCTGAACAAGTATCACAATAGCATTGTTAATCTTCTCTGTAACCTCCCTACCGTAGGTTGTACCGCTGAACAAGTATCACAGTAGCCTAGTTAATCTTCTCTGCATCCTCCCTACCGTAGTAGTTGTACCGCTGAACAAGTATCACAATAGCCTTGTTAATTTTCTCTGTATCCTCCCTACCCTAGTAGTTGTACCGCTGAACAAGTATCACAATAGCCTTGTTAATTTTCTCTGTATCCTCCCTACCCTAGTAGTTGTACCGCTGAACAAGTATCACAATAGCCTTGGTAATTTTCTCTGTATCCTCCCTACCGTAGTAGTTGTACCGCTGAACAAGTATCACAATAGCCTTGTTAATCTTCTCTGCATCCTCCCTACCGTAGTAGTTGTACCGCTGAACAAGTATCACAATAGCCTTGTTAATCTTCTCTGCATCCTCCCTACCGTAGTAGTTGTACCGCTGAACAAGTATCACAATAGCCTTGTTAATCTTCTCTGCATCCTCCCTACCGTAGTAGTTGTACCGCTGAACAAGTATCTCAATAGCCTTGTTAATTTTCTCTGCATCCATCTACCGTAGTAGTTGTACCGCTGAACAAGTATCACAATAGCCTTGTTAATTTTCTCTGTATCCTCCCTACCCTAGTAGTTGTACCGCTGAACAAGTATCACAATAGCCTTGTTAATCTTCTCTGCATCCTCCCTACCGTAGTAGTTGTACCGCTGAACAAGTATCACAATAGCCTTGTTAATCTTCTCTGCATCTTCCCTACCGTAGTAGTTGTACCGCTGAACAAGTATCACAATAGCCTTGTTAATCTTCTCTGTATCCTCCCTACCCTAGTAGTTGTACCGCTGAACAAGTATCACAATAGCCTTGTTAATTTTCTCTGTATCCTCCCTACCCTAGTAGTTGTACCGCTGAACAAGTATCACAATAGCCTTGTTAATATTCTCTGTATCCTCCCTACCGTAGTAGTTGTACCGCTGAACAAGTATCACAATAGCCTTGTTAATTTTCTCTGTATCCTCCCTACCCTAGTAGTTGTACCGCTGAACAAGTATCACAATAGCCTTGTTAATTTTCTCTGTATCCTCCCTACCGTAGTAGTTGTACCGCTGAACAAGTATCACAATAGCCTTGTTAATCTTCTCTGTATCCTCCCTACCGTAGTAGTTGTACCGCTGAACAAGTATCACAATAGCCTTGTTAATTTTCTCTGTATCCTCCCTACCGTAGTAGTTGTACCGCTGAACAAGTATCACAATAGCCTTGTTAATCTTCTCTGCATCCTCCCTACCGTAGTAGTTGTACCGCTGAACAAGTATCACAATAGCCTTGTTAATCTTCTCTGCATCCTCCCTACCGTAGTAGTTGTACCGCTGAACAAGTATCACAATAGCCTTGTTAATTTTCTCTGTATCCTCCCTACCCTAGTAGTTGTACCGCTGAACAAGTATCACAATAGCCTTGTTAATTTTCTCTGCATCCTCCCTACCCTAGTAGTTGTACCGCTGAACAAGTATCACAATAGCCTTGTTAATCTTCTCTGCATCCTCCCTACCGTAGTAGTTGTACCGCTGAACAAGTATCACAATAGCCTTGTTAATCTTCTCTGCATCCTCCCTACCGTAGTAGTTGTACCGCTGAACAAGTATCACAATAACCTTGTTAATTTTCTCTGTATCCTCCCTACCCTAGTAGTTGTACCGCTGAACAAGTATCACAATAGCCTTGTTAATTTTCTCTGCATCCTCCCTACCCTAGTAGTTGTACCGCTGAACAAGTATCACAATAGCCTTGTTAATCTTCTCTGCATCCTCCCTACCGTAGTAGTTGTACCGCTGAACAAGTATCACAATAGCCTTGTTAATCTTCTCTGCATCCTCCCTACCGTAGTAGTTGTACCGCTGAACAAGTATCACAATAGCCTTGTTAATCTTCTCTGCATCCTCCCTACCGTAGTAGTTGTACCGCTGAACAAGTATCACAATAGCCTCGTTAATTTTCTCTGTATCCTCCCTACCCTAGTAGTTGTGCCGCTGAACAAGTATCACAATAGCCTTGTTAATCTTCTCTGCATCCTCCCTACCGTAGTAGTTGTACCGCTGAACAAGTATCACAATAGCCTTGTTAATTTTCTCTGTATCCTTCCTACCCTAGTAGTTGTACCGCTGAACAAGTATCACAATAGCCTTGTTAATTTTCTCTGTATCCTCCCTACCGTAGTAGTTGTGCCGCTGAACAAGTATCACAATAGCCTTGTTAATTTTCTCTGTATCCTCCCTACCATAGTATTTATACCGCTGAACAAGTATCACTGTAGCTTAGTTAATTTTCTCTGTATCCTCCCTACCCTAGTAGTTGTGCCGCTGAACAAGTATCACAATAGCCTTGTTAATTTTCTCTGTATCCTCCCTACCATAGTATTTATTCCGCTGAACAAGTATCACAGTAGCTTAGTTAATTTCCTCTGTATCCTCCCACCCTAGTAGTTGTGCCGCTGAACAAGTATCACAATAGCCTTGTTAATCTTCTCTGCATCCTCCCTACCGTAGTAGTTGTACCGCTGAACAAGTATCACAATAGCCTTGTTAATTTTCTCTGTATCCTCCCTACCATAGTATTTATTCCGCTGAACAAGTATCACAATAGCCTTGTTAATCTTCTCTGCATCTTCCCTACCGTAGTAGTTGTACCGCTGAACAAGTATCACAATAGCCTTGTTAATCTTCTCTGTATCCTCCCTACCCTAGTAGTTGTACCGCTGAACAAGTATCACAATAGCCTTGTTAATTTTCTCTGTATCCTCCCTACCCTAGTAGTTGTACCGCTGAACAAGTATCACAATAGCCTTGTTAATATTCTCTGTATCCTCCCTACCGTAGTAGTTGTACCGCTGAACAAGTATCACAATAGCCTTGTTAATCTTCTCTGCATCCTCCCTACCGTAGTAGTTGTACCGCTGAACAAGTATCACAATAGCCTTGTTAATCTTCTCTGCATCCTCCCTACCGTAGTAGTTGTACCGCTGAACAAGTATCACAATAGCCTCGTTAATTTTCTCTGTATCCTCCCTACCCTAGTAGTTGTGCCGCTGAACAAGTATCACAATAGCCTTGTTAATCTTCTCTGCATCCTCCCTACCGTAGTAGTTGTACCGCTGAACAAGTATCACAATAGCCTTGTTAATTTTCTCTGTATCCTTCCTACCCTAGTAGTTGTACCGCTGAACAAGTATCACAATAGCCTTGTTAATTTTCTCTGTATCCTCCCTACCGTAGTAGTTGTGCCGCTGAACAAGTATCACAATAGCCTTGTTAATTTTCTCTGTATCCTCCCTACCATAGTATTTATACCGCTGAACAAGTATCACTGTAGCTTAGTTAATTTTCTCTGTATCCTCCCTACCCTAGTAGTTGTGCCGCTGAACAAGTATCACAATAGCCTTGTTAATTTTCTCTGTATCCTCCCTACCATAGTATTTATTCCGCTGAACAAGTATCACAGTAGCTTAGTTAATTTCCTCTGTATCCTCCCACCCTAGTAGTTGTGCCGCTGAAGAAGTATCACAATAGCCTTGTTAATTTTCTCTGTATCCTCCCTACCCTAGTAGTTGTACCGCTGAACAAGTATCACAATAGCCTTGTTAATCTTCTCTGTATCCTCCCTACCCTAGTAGTTGTACCGCTGAACAAGTATCACAATAGCCTTGTTAATTTTCTCTGCATCCTCCCTACCCTAGTAGTTGTGCCGCTGAACAAGTATCACAATAGCCTTGTTAATTTTCTCTGTATCCTCCCTACCCTAGTAGTTGTGCCGCTGAACAAGTATCACAATAGCCTTGTTAATTTTCTCTGTATCCTCCCTATGTTAATGACCTAATTATACTTAATGTCGTAGTATCCATTTGACCATACAAGTATCTCAGGTGCCATGCTTTCTCTGTAATCCTTCCTATTGTACTAGTTGCACCACCAGATGAAATGCTTTCATTTCGATATCAATCCCCTCTGGTTATTGTATAAAGAGAACCAAAGTAATATATTCCCATATGATGAAACACACATTAAAAAGTCAACTTTCTTTAAAAATTAATATTTTTCAAAGACTTTACTCTTCATTTGAAAGCTTTAATTTCAGAGTAAAGAAACCTTTTTTAAAATAATTCTTCAAGTGTTGAATTTTGCTCTCAATGACCTCAATGCAAAATATTTCAATTGCTGTAAAAATAGCTCCAGTTAATTTGATCTCAATAAGAGACTTCCTAACATTGACTTTCTTGATCCTCGATAGCATCAACTCAAGAGAATGTTTCAAGACTCGGATCAAATCTCACCCCTGCACTTTGATTATTTGATTCCAAGGTGTTCTGGTGGGATGTGATTCTGGTTTGATATCAAGACATCGACGTAATTCCATGTGTAACTTTCCATGATGGACTAAACTGGATGGCACAATAAGTAAGGAATACAAATATACAGGACTAAGAAAAGTAATATAGAATATTTGATCTTATACACCTATCCCTCGATTTACACGGTACTTGTTTTACACGTTTTCGCTTTTACACGGTTTTCCAAATAAGCTTTTTTTATCGCACTATACTAAATGCTACTGTGATTGAACACATGCGCTGTGTACACATCTCACGAGGAATCCCGAGCTTATGTGCTGACTACATATTTTAACCTGTCAATGCATTTTATTTCTATTTCTGTGTACACCTATCCCCCGATTTACACGTTTTTCTCAGGAACGTATCTACCGTGTAAATCGGGGGATAGGTGTACTTGTATAACATAAGAAGGGCAGGATGCTAAGTTGGGATAACTCAGTCAGAACTGTCTTCACCTCCAAGAAAAGGGGTAAACTAAGATTTCAAACCAAGGGGACAGATTGGTTGTCTTGAGCGATGACTTATCTAAAAGAGATCACTTCGATCATGAACCATTATTTGGTTTGTAGTATAGGTCTCTCTTATACGATACCAGCCATTAAGTCACATCGTGGAAAGTTCACTTACTTACACGAACGTGTAAGATAGCATTCCGTAACCTCCGCGTCTGAGATAACATTTTAGCATGATGATCAAGCAAAAGAGATGCAAATAAATTTCCCTCTTTTTTTTCCTAGAATGTCATATGTTTCATATTACAAAAAGGGCCTATTTGGATTTTCGGAATAGAAATTTTGTGTATTAAAAGGAAAGAAACTCCTAAATTTCCAAACAAACGCGGAGGGCTTTGTAATTTCCATAAGAAGGTATAAATGAAGATGTATTGGGTAGGAGAGGATTTATATCTGATGGACCAATCAATGTGGAGAGCAGATACTGATTCCATAAGAAGTGAAATGCTCAAGTAAAGATGTGTGGGGTGGTAGATGATATTTACAACAGGAGATATTTAATTGGTGATCAAAATACGGAGAAAATAGAAAATTCCAGCGGAGGACTGACATCTGCTGAGAAAGCTTAATATTCTATCAAAAATATTAATTTTTAACAAAATAATTTCAATTTTTAAACAAAAGTTTAAATTTTCTACACACCTTATGAGGAGCTCATTGTTTCTCTTGATCCCTAGGTTTCAGCTTGATATAATGAAATAAACTTTCTTCGTTAAATGACTTTAAGCAGGGTATTAACCACAAATAAAACAAAAGTTAGAAATTACGCAAACTCGTAAAGCCACACTGCAGAAATAAAACAATCCCCGGTCAGCAGCAATGACAACCGACGCATGCGCGAAGCCATTCTAAATTTTTCATAGCTTACTTTACGTGGATTTAGCAAGAAAATCTGAGAGAGGTGATGGAAATTTTAAAATATAACATTTTCCCTAGTTTTATGGAATGAAAATCTCTCAAACAGTCAAAATATCTAAGCAGCTTTTTGGCTTCAAATTTGTGTTATCAATATGATTACAGATTATCATCAGATATACAAAAATCGTCATTATTTTAACATGATTCATCAATATATTTTCCAAAATTCACCAATATTTAATAAATGAAAACATTAAGACGCGAATTTTTATTTTTATAAATAAATAAAACTTTTCTACTGTCATTACTGCGATGAAAAGATATTGGGAGAGCTTGGTTCATCAGTGGTAAACCTCCCAATATTTTTTCATCGCAGTAAGGCCAGTAGAAAGTTTTATTTATTTGCGAAAAAAATATTCACGTCTTAATGTTTTCATTTTGTTATATATTGATTGCGCGTTATTGCTTTGTAAAATTTCATCAATATTTTTACAATAATTTTATCACTATTTTTACATGCTTCATTATTACTTAAATCATTATTTGGTTTAAAACCCAATAATTTTATCATCCTAACCACGAATATTTTATCCTACAATATCTGTCATACGTGGAAGTCTCTGTCGAAAAAAAAAAGAATATAAAGCGTCAGGAAAGAGCTTATTTGTAACTGGAGGAGGCTGCACCACGACCATCCAATAGCACATTGGCAAGTACTTAGCCAAGAACATTGTGGCAACACTATACCAGTCGGATTACAGTCCCGACTTCTCAAGAATAAAAAAGAGCTTAAAAGGCCACAATTTTGGAATTCTGTAAAATGTCAACAAGGCTGTGACGACATGCTGAACGAAGCTCTTTCCGACACCTTCCAGCCAGCCTATTGGCAGCGATACTTTTAACTGTGTATGACGCTTTTCTATTTGAATAAATCTATTGTAATTATGTAGACCATGGAAATTTTTGAAAAATGTAAAATCAATTTTACTGTAAAGAACAAACCCTAAACTATAATTTAATTTAGCAACGCCAGTTAATGCGCATGCGTAGTTTTCATTTTAGGCATATTTTTGTTGTAAGTATTTAGCTCGCGGCGGTTTCCGCAATGCCATCATTTGAGCAAAGAGCAAATATTAAATTTTGTGTAAAATTTAAAAAGTCTTTCACAGAGACATTAGCATTAATAAATGGAGATTATAAAGACGAAAAATTGTCACGAACGCAAGTTTATTTCTGGTATAAATGTTTTAAAGATGGCCGTAAGAGCATCGCAGATGATTCAAGGTCAGGTCGGCCATTGACGTCAACAACGGATTGCGATATTGTGCAGGTACGTGATTTAATTGTTGCTAATAGAAATATTACTATTGATAATATATCAGAAATACTTGGAATTTCGTATGGTAGTTGCCAAAAAAATATTGGTGAACATTTAAACACGAAAAAACTTTGTGGTTATTTTGTCCCACGAAATTTAACAGATCAACAAAGAAAAACCGTATTATCAATTTGCAAAAATTTAATTGAAACTGCAAATAATGATTCAGATTTTTTAAAACAATAATAACTGGTGTGATGAAACATGGTGCTTTATTTTTGATCCACAAACTAAAAAACAATCACTCGAATGGCACACACCAAGTTCTCCTAGGAAGAAGAAAGTTCGTCTTGACAAGTCCAAAAGAAAAGTAATGCTTGTAGTGTTTTAGATTATCAAGGACATGTCTATTATGAATTTATTAAAGAAGGGGTTACTATTAATAACAGGCATACAAATAAATACTTGTACGTCTTCGTGATGCGATAAGAAGAAAAAGAAACCAACTCTTTAAATCAAAACAGTGGAAATTGCTACATGATAATGCCCCTGCTCATAGAGCCATTATTATTCAAGACTATTTAGCCAAACACTCTGTATCTGTTGCCGCATCCTCCTTACTCTCCTGATATCGCCTCATGTGATTTCATCTTCTTTCCTAAACTTAAAATGACGTTAAAAGGGAGGCGCTTTTCATCGTCATCAGAAGTAATTGAAAATGCGACGGTGGAGCTAAACAAGCTTAGAAAATTTGACTTTGAACTAGCATTTCAACAGATTTTTTCACGCTGGAAAAAATGTGTAGATAACCAAGGATCCTATTTTGAAAATTTTGATGTCTAAATTACTATACTATGAATAAATAATTAATTTTAAAAAAATTTCGGGAACTTTTTGATCCTACCTTGTATAGCCCAAGACATTTCCTGGTTTTGTAATTTCCTGTTTTGATCAGAATTGACCGCCAATATAAAGTAATATTTAACGCCGTTTGACTTTTTTCTAAGTCTAAGGGATTTATGCCAAAACACGCCTCTCGAAGGAGGAAACCGAACGTTCTATTTATAAATTTAGACACATGTATAGAAACGGTCATGGACATCAACAAAAGAGTACTATGTGTCAGCAAAGCCACCCAATATATACTATTCCATACATAACCCGAAGTACTGCATACTTAATGAATCCATAAGTAATTAATAATTTTCAATTATAAACCGATATTTTATTCAAAATTACTTCTTGCTTGAATTTTGGGACATCCTATATATACCATTGTTATTATTTGTATAGAGATACTTTTTAAAATCTTTTATTGGTTTGTAAATTGATTAGATGTCAATGGAATGTTTGAGATATGTCAACAGGCTGGTGTGTTTTTGTCAAAGACAACACGAGATCAAGAATGAAGGCGATCGTCTGATGTCAATTCTGAGTCTAATCTCCCCTAGAACCCTTTGATTATGCTAATTTTAAAGTGTTTTGGGGGGATAGGAGTCAGTTTCGAACCTTCTACGACGGCAGAAGTTTCTGAAATACTGGTGAGTACTTGCCAATCATGTGGCGAGTTTCCTTTGTCAGTTCTAATTGTATGAATACATAGTTTAAACATAGTGCCCCCATCTAAATGCTCAACATAGTTTTATAATAATTTCTATCTAAATACTTTTATTTTTAACATAAATACATTGCATGAATTATATATATATATACATTGATGAATATCAGAATATAGTTATTTTTTTATTCTATATGAGTATTATAAATTATTTTATATATTTATATGGCAATATACACAGTATAGTATATATTCTCACAATTATTTATAGTTCTAGCTCATACTACCGATTTATTTTTAAAGCCACCCGCTCATTACGATAAAAACATTGCCCCATTTTCTCCTTTTGATATATACAAATTCTATTCTATTCCAGGTCATAGTGGCTACCTAGAAGTTTGATATTTTGTATAATTTCGTTGTTAGCCTGGTTCAAATCACATTAATAGGTACCGCTCAGCAAGAGCAACCTAGTTCATGATAATTGAAACAGTGAATAATATGTGAAGGTTATTCACATATTAAACACAATTTAAACGCGGGATTCAATCCCGGTCCATGACTGTCGGGAATCGAGCGTGTTACCCTCTCATCCACCGACTTTTTTGTTGTTAGCTTGATTGAGTGAGTTCATAATATTTTTTTTTACTTCTATGTAGTCTGTAATTATATTAAAAATGTATTCTAAAAATTTTAAAATAAATATAGAAATTTGTCCGATGCTGACAACCCAGAGGTCTTGAATTTTGTAGACACGCATTGATAACAGAATCGATCGAATTTTTCTTAATTCATAATTATATATGGTCTGTATATAGTATATTGAACCTTTATCACCAAAATTGAAAGCAAATATAGAAATTATTCCAGTCCCGACCACATTTTTATCAAACTCCAGCCTCTTATTACACCAAAGAAACGGCTGTGCCTATTTTTGTCCGTTTTAAAAGGAAATTCTCTTCTCTAGTGTATTCCCGACCATCATAGAATTCGGAAATTCTATACATTTTCACAATGTAAGTAGGATCGAACTAGTCTATTAAATACCTGACTTCTATGTGGTCAGGGAGTGTAGTAAAAATTGATCACAAAATTCGAAATATATAAATTAAAATTAGTTCATTTCAGACCACCCAGAAATCTGAAATTTTATCAACATGCAGGTTTGAACAAGTGTACCAAATTTCAGACTTCTAAGTCTTCTGTAAGTATACAAAAATTGTTTATAATATTTGTAGTCAGACTGACATGGCAAAAGGTCAAATAAAAGCTTTTAATGACACTATTTACAGTGCGAATTTTCAAATAAAACACAATTAGGTACGTTGAGGAATATAGCGCAATTCATAGGTCAACATGAATTACTAATAATGAGGCGTTTTTTGAGTTTAATTGAAACACACTTTATTTGTGAAATGTGATATTTAAAAAGACTGAACCTCTTTCTTTTAAAACATATTCACAAATTAAAAACATGACGAAGATATGCGTTTTTGTATTTCTGATAGAATGGACTGTTGAGTTTTCTGGGTTCGGGTTTAAAATTATACATAGCTCCAGGGTATTTCTATCTTTTTATTTTAATATTATTTTTGTCTATTATTGAAGACAAACATTCAATGAATAATATTTCTTGTTTATCAAGGATATTATGGTATATTTTTTCCACTGTTATTGCAATATGTTACATGATTTTTTATAATTGATAACTTAGCTAGTAAGGATAACGGCCTATTATTTTGTAGTCTGGATTTATGACGCTTCACTCGTTGTTCAAGTGACTTCCCAGTTTGACCTATGTATATAGATGGTATAGATGGTCAGGACCTACAAGGGATTTTATAAACTATATTGGCTTCTGTTTTTGGGATGGCGATATATATATAGGTTTGGTTATAGGATGGTGTAGTTTGGCCTTAGTTGTCTGCTGTTTCAGTGGCGTGTTAATATGCCGTGATGACCCTCGCGATTCTTTCCACACCACTGCTGTAGGGGAGTAGGCAGAAGCTGTTTTAAAAAGCAGGCAGATGGTTAATTGTAGCATTTGGATGCAGGAATGTACTTATTAAATTTGTTTGGATAGCCCTTTCTAATTTGAGTTTTAAGTAGCCTATATTGTTCGCTTTTATGGTCCAGTATTCTATTGAATTAAGTATGGACTCGTTTTGTGACCGTTCTATCATAAAGATAAAGCCTTTTCTAAAGAAATCACAGTTGAAAATAAATAGAACAGCTCCCTGCCATTCCTCGATGTCAAACTAAGACGCACTGATGACCAAATCTACTCTAGTATCTACGAGAAGCCTTCAAATCAGGTTTCTAAATTTTGAATCATTCTGTTCCATCAGTCAAAATCAACCGTAGTCAAATGATGGAGCCAAAAGCTATCCAGTCTTAAATCCAATATGGTTTCTAATACGTTTTCAATCAAGGGATATTAATCCTTGCCACACGCAGTGTGTCATCGAAATCTATCTAACTCTTTGCCCCTACCTTTATTGAACACACTCCACCCTGTACCTACTTCTCTAGAGTTGTTTACTTGAATATTTGATCAAAGTGATGCACATACTATTGATTTGTTAACCTAGATGAACAATTTGAAAACAACCATTTTAGCCTTAATTACGATTTAGACCTTATTTTTAAAACGTGATATTTATAAAGGCTGAATCTCTTTCTTTTTCAAACAGATTCACAACCCAAACTCACGACGAAGATGTGCGTTTTCGTAGTACTGCAGGGTGGACTGTTGAGGTTTTCTTTGGTTAGCATATTCTAGAATTATATTTGATACCTTGAGATTAAAAATCTAAGTCTTAAATGAGGTAAGTGTGCTAAATCGAGAACGGGGAGTATACTTTTACCAACTATTAATACAGTTCAAACCTTTCTACACGAAGAATAAATTTTAAATATATGTAATTATAATAATATTTTTTTGGCAATATATTATTTTCTTATTATATATTTAATCAAAAAATATCTCTACAAACCTTACTACAATGATAGAAATTATTAGCTGAGAGAGCTTTGCTCATCAATAGCAAGCCCTTTCTCATCTAATAATTTTTATCATTGCAGTAAGGTTTGTAGAGATAATAGTTGATAATATATATCATACTAGCGGATGTACCCGGCTTCGCCCGGGTTTTACCCGAGTAAAGGTTTGTCTAACGAATCTCTCGATAAAGTGAACATTTGTTCCCGGTCCCTTGAAAAATACTCGATAAGTTGAATAAAATCAATATTAAGTGGTTCCCTCGGTAATTGGAAGTTAAAGGAATAGTATCTTGCCTTGGAATTGTATCATTATTCTTGTCTCAAATAAATTGCCGTGTCATCCTGAATTTTGTCTTTCCTAATTATCTACATTACAAAATCATCGTATCATCATGATAATATTTAGAACAGATTGTTGAATTATAAAACAGATAAATTAGAATATTTATCTTGATTATTTTTAGGCGAAAAGTTATTTCAAAAATTTTATTTGCTAGAAACCTTCCCAGTACTATACTAAATAACTTCCCAAAGTTTCATGGCGTTCCAATGAGTGGTTTGGTCAGGCATAAAGGACACACACACATACATTCATTTATATATATATAGATAAGACTCATATTGTCGAAAATGATAATTATAATTTTATCAATAGATGGTAATACTAATATAAAGCAATAACGCGCCATCTATATATAACAAATGAAAACATTAAGACGCAAATGTTTCTTTCCACAAATAAATCAACCTTCTACTGTCCCTACTGCGTTTTTCATCGCAGTAAGGACAGTAGAAGTTTAATTTATTTGTGGAAAAAAACATTCGCGTCTTAATGTTTTTATTTGTTAGATGGCAATATATGGAATTTACAGAAGAACAACTAAGTTCAACCTGATTATTCGCCATGTTTGTCTGCATAAACAAATTGTGTTTTTCTTCTGTTTTACTTTCATATGTTCAGATTGGTTGAGACAGAGTCACGTGTTCGCCCTGCCGTTCCTGAAGCAGCCGATGTAGTTGAACTCCGCGCCTGGAGCTAAATCTCACCCATTTGCTTTGTTGGAAGATTGTCCCAAAGTATTTGGTTGGGATTAGATCCAGGTGTGGGCACGTACTTCATCGCCTGCCTGGGGTAAGTACTACAGTACTTGTGACATTCTTGTCTTACGTAACTGTCTCATTCCGATATATACATACCTTCTTTTGCTATCTATTTAATAATTGCTATGTATTAATTTATGCCTAACTGGCCATGCCCTTATTGTTTGAGGAAGAGCATTGCTCGATGCAAATACTTAAATGTAATTCTAATGTGTCCTAAAAGCTTATGTCCATAGTTTGCTTAAATACTATTTATAAGATTCCACTCTTCAGTGTAACATATAAAAGCAGAATGATATAATACAGTATTAGGGCTCTAAAGAAGCGTTCTGGTAGTTTAAAAAAAAAAAAAAATTGGCGAAACCGCTGGGAGGACGCACCACGGATGAGTCAAGCCCTCCCAATATTTTTTCATCGCAATAAGGACAGTAGAGTTTGATTTATTTGTGAAAAGAAACATTCGCATTTTGGTGTTTTCATTTGTATTATAAAGAAGGCGCGTTATTTCTATGTATTAATATATACCTTCATTTAAATCTGTTTGTGTGGTCGATGCATAATTATTGCCCCTTATGTTCAATAAACTACAATAAAATGGCAAATGAACTTGACTTTTTTTATTGTTAGTTCGCTAAAAGGTTCTTTGAGATAGTGAAATGACCTTAATGCGGTATTCCAACTTTTCTCGAACTGGTAAAGTATAACATGGCTAATAGGATCGTGATTTTTGGTACTTATTTTTATTTTCTGAAAAAATATAATTTTTTTTTAATTACAATTTTTTTTGAAAACGCCAATTATTAAAGAAAAAAGTCTCGGAGGAGGGGTGAAGGAGGAAAGAAGCAATAATTATGCACTGACTTCTCTCTAACTCTAATATATATATAACAAACATTGTTATTAAGCCCGGCTAGCTCAGTCGGTAGAGCATGAGACTCTTAATCTCAGGTTCGAGCCCCACGTTGGGCGTTTTTTTTTTTTTGTTCTAATTAAACGATAATAAAGAGGATAAATTGATAGTGATTTCGCAATTTCATTATAACATGTACTAATTATTTTTGGCAATATTTTTCATATAAATTATATAATATATTCGCTAATCTATATAATTGTATATATCACACAGAGTCTGATAGACTACACTGATGATAATATAGAATGTACAGTAACATAACCAACAGTGAGCTCCTAGAACCATTGATTTCCAAAGAAAACTAAATCTTCAACAGGTGGATAGGTTCAATCCCCGGGGTTTCAGTAGGATAACTTTTTTATTATCCCTATAGAGTTCACCTGGCGATGATCCCCTGGCCACCCATCCCCAGGCCCCTCCAACTGTGCTTTGTATATATTCCGCTTTATACGTCCATCGGGGCTCAAAAATCATTCATTTTGGTTAGCAGCCCCATAAAATAAAGATATTTTCTCTCTCTTATCCCTATAGACCATGATATTCATGATGGGTAGTAATTAACGACTGATTTTACTGAACGTGCACCACATGTCTACACATTTGGAAAAGTACAATATAGCTACATCAACAAATTATTTATTTAATTCCCGATCTTTCATCATTCCACTGAGGAAAGTGACTCAAACTTCGGCAATTACTGGTTAATGTAGCCATTTTTTCCAAAAAAATATAAGCTTCCAAACAACAAATTATCTTCAATTACTAAACATATGGAAACCAGTTCAACTTTTTTCACTTACAAACTTGCCATAACTCCCATTTGGTTACTTGCACATAGTGGTGGGCTTGAAATTTGGCAAGAATCGGGGACCTTTAGAGCAATTTTTTCTTCAAAAAATAATGTCCAACGCGGGGTTCGATCACGAGTCATAGCTGTTGACAGTTTCTACGACTCCACCACCACCCACAAGTATGATAACTCCCCCAAACCAATATTGTCTCGCGATACTTTATTGCCGCATTGACCCTGATTATGAGAGAGAAAACTGATAAATCATAGGTATATCCACCATTATATCTTTTATCTCACACATGGTGAAATTATTTTCACTTCACAACATGCAAATATCCTAGATGTTATTAGTGATTATATTAAACTAAGGTAGGTACACTCATGGATAAAACTTAAGAAAAGTTGTACCTTTTAACATGTATATCGGGATTCAGATAATAACTCTGACAGAACTCTGACTGACCTTTATTGAAGACACATGAGATAACCAAGTGTGAACAAAATTGCCTTTGTCTCCTTAAAAAAACAGATGATGGACGAATTCAAAGACTTTCCACTTAAGTGTTGTCTATAAATGTAATTATTATTCTCTTATAAATTGTTTATAGATAAGCAGTCTCTTTAGTAGCTCGTTTTGTAATGAGAGTTAAAACCCTTTGCTCTAAATCTCCCTATTACATGGCCATAATAAAAGCAACGTATCGCTATTTATATCGTTGTAATTATGAAGTCGATAAAAGTATGGGTGGACGAGTTGTATAAACTGTTGTTTTTCGACAGCAACGACCCGGGGTCGAATTCCACATTGGACGCTTTTTTTTTTCTTTTTCTTTTTTAAATATACGAGGGTTGTCCGTTAAATAAGTTCCACAGAGGTTTTTCATACAGAAAAACAGGTTTATTTGCCCTGAACTATGCATTTTCGAAAATATCAGACTTTTTTTAATTTTTCTACATATTCCCCGTTTCGTTCGACGCATTTTTGCATTCGGGACACCCACTTATGGAACCCAGAGTCAAAGACCCTGCCGCCTGGCCGCGTAGAAAGCCTAAAACCGCTTCTTCCAAACTCGTCATCGTCCTGGAATTGGGTTCCACCCAGGTTTTTCTTCAACTCGGGGAAGAAATGGAAGTCACTAGGATCTACGTCAGGGCTGTAAGGTGGGTGTGACACCAATCCCCATCCAAATTCTTCGATGAGGGCAGTGGCTTGATGGGCGGTGTGCGGCCGAGCGTTGTCGTGGTGAAAACGCACCCCTTTGGTTAACATCCCTCTCCTCTTGTTCTGAATCACGCGTCGAAGTTGTTTCAAGATCTCACAGTACCGGTCGGAATTGATTGTTGTACCCCGACGCATAAAGTCACACAACAATAGACCCTTTCGGCCCCAAAAGACGGTAGCGATAAGTTTCCTGGCAGAAAGTGTTTGTTTAAACTTTAGAGGTTTCGGCGAAGAAGTGTGCTTCCACTGCTTGGATTGTTCCTTTGTCTTCGGTGTGGTGTAGTGTACTCAGGTAACATCACCAGTAACGATCGAATCCAAGAATTCCTCTCCGTCAGTTTTATGGCAATCGAGAAATTTCTGGGCCGCATCAACCCACTGCCGTTTATGGTCTTCAGTCAGCATTTTCGGAACCCATATTGCGCAGACCTTTGAATACCCTAAATGTTCACGCAAATTCTTGTCGATGGTGGTTTTACTGACATCAGGAACCAAATCGCAGAGCTTCCGCACAGTAACCCGTCGATCTTCAAGCATTGTCGCTTCGACTTTGGCAATGGTTTCGTCCGAAACCGATGGCCGTCCAGCACGGGGTTCATCGTGGACGTCTGTTCGGTCGTTTTTAAATTCTCTGACCCATCTGCGTACCATCCCGGAACTCATACACCCTTCTCCATACACTTGACAGAGTTCAGTATGAATGTCCTTCGCCGAATTATTCTTTGCGGCCAAAAAGCGAATTACTGACCGTAATTCACAGCTGGCGGGAGACACGAGGGGAAGCTCCATCACTAACGGCTGCTCAGCCAAAACTAAGCTTACCAGCGACGTGTCCTTGGTGTGAAATTGGAGTGGGGAGAACAAGCTACGAGCCCGTGCAGTCGGCTCGAGCCTAAAAGCGATCCTCATGACAGTGGTGCCCCGTGGAACTTATTTAACGGACAACCCTCGTATATATATATATTTCAATGGCTCCCTATTCTTTTAAAAAGTGTTTTCAAGGAACCCAACGGGGTTTTTGCACATTTGTTAGTGTAAAAGTCGAATTGCATTCCCCGTGTGTAAACATGCGATACGCTTACAATAAAGACAGTCGCCAACTTCTACCCACCATGATTATCATGGCTTGTACCACATGTACTAAATTTAATTAAAAATTGTTTTAAAAATATAAAAGTTGACAGATTCTAGCGATTCAATCCTTATTTATTAAAACTGTTGATGATGATGATGATTGGACAGGATTCATTACTAATTAGCCAGCAGGACCTTTCGAAAAATATATATTTATTTAGAACTACACAGTAAGGATTAGTATAAATCCAGTTTGTGTAGATGAGAAACAAACTCAGACATTCCAGCCATACTTGGTTCTAAATCTCAACCATTTGCTTTGAAGGTAAAGTATCAAAGTATTTGTTTGGGGTTGGATCCAGGTGTGGACAGCCAGAGTGGACTACGTCAGCAAAATCAGAAAAATCTACCTGGCAGATCTACGGTGAAAGCATCAATAAAAGAATCCGAAGGAAGCAATTCCCACTACATGTTTACACGTAACGCTCTCATCTACCAGACCTTGGAACCTCAGGATAATGAAGAAGAGACTAAGAAAGAACTGGATGGATGAAATCAGGAAATAGACGAAATCATCTTATATGGGAATAAAGATATATTTATGGCGAACTAAATAACTTAGTCCCTATTTCTGCTCCGCGCTTATGGAATTGAAGACTTGGGGCGATGGCGTCGACCTTTCATATTAAATCTTACTTTTCCTTATTACTAATAATTGTATATAGTTGCGGAACTACTGGTTTCCTGTGCTGCTCTTTTCCTGATATTGCACCTTGTACGGGAGAATCTGTATAAGACTAATGTCTTAATAAATGCTTTGTGTGTGTGTGTGTGTGTGTGTGTGTGTGTGTGTGTGTGTGTGTGTGTGTGTGTGTGTGTGTGTGTGTGACAATTTTGACAATTAAAAAATATTTATTGTCATCTTAGACAATATTAAACATTTTCAATCACAGGGAGAGAAAAAGAAAAAAGAAGATGAGAAGAGAAGAGAAAATATATACATATATGAAACATATTTTACAAGATGGTGATGGGAGATGGAGGAAGAAAACCTCGGCGCTGGAGGGTCCTGGACCAGGCGATGAGCGGGTCTTCCACTGCTTCTCCGAGCCCAACCTGTACAAAGTAGCGATAAATTCGCAACTTTGCCGACGCCAAGATGGAAAGGGCGTCGTCCTCAAGGCCGGACCCGCCGAAGATCCAAGCCTGCAGGTCAGGGGGCCGCCCTATGATGTTGAAGGCCTCTCTGATGAGCGGCCTGATGGAGCGGCAGCACCAGTAACGGTGGCCGAGGGAGCGGTCGATGGACCCGCAGGCAGGACAGGAGGGGCCGACCGAGGCAGGATGGGCCGGATGGGGCAGGGCGTGGAGGGCTAGCTTGAGAGCTGCGTCGGCCTCGTGACCCGAATAGGCGCAGCTCCGCAGCGAGGCCCAGTCGATCCTGGATGGTGGATTGATGGTGGGCGTCCATCTCGCCAGGAATCTGGAGATGGGCGTGGCGGCGAGGCGCGGACGATCCAGGGCCCGTCGGGCCGAGCGGGTCGTGAGGCCGTTGAGGAACGGCGTAGCCGTCCCTCGCAGCACCACGGCCGCAGCTAGAGAGCTAGATGAGGGTGCAGACTCCGCCCCGAAGCCCACGGCGTTCTCGGAGGTCAGCCTCCGACAGAAGGCGCTCAGGGCCGCGGCGTCAGTCAGGGCCGAGCGCGTAGGGCGGGCGATGAGGTGTTCCTCCTCGATGAGGTCCCGGATTCGGGCTCCGCTCCAGCGGGCGGGGGCCAGGAGGTCGGGAGGGCGGAGGAACCGGCAGCCGCCGATGATGGGGAGGTCCAGCAGCTGAGCCGTGGGGACCGCCCGGTGGTTGAGGCCCAGGATGTTGGAGGCCTCCTCCCATAGCTTCAGCAACCGGAGACGGCGGGGCTGGAGACGGGTGCCGTCCGGTGGAGGGTGGATCCAGGCTTCCCCGCTGTTGCTGCTGACCAGCCAGCTGAAGGCATTTCTGCCCCCGCGGAGCGCGGGGAAGAAGTTTTTCCCGCCCTCTACAATCACTCTAGAGGGGAGTGAGTGTTGAGGCGTCTCTGCGTGTTGTCCTCCGTAGGGGTGCCACTGACTGACGTCCAGTGAAGCTGTAAGCTGGCCGTCTTTCCTTGGTTGTCTGGGCGAGGCACACGTGTCTTGAAACTCTTGGGTCTTCGCTCTGTGTGTGCGTCATTGGGAGCGCCCTTGCCGTGCGCGAAAATTGCACCAGGGCTAGGCCTGGTGTTGAAAAACCAAGGGGTGCACACAGTAGTACCACCCCCCCGCCTCCGCGTCGGTTTCCCCGCGTCAACCTCAGAACCTCAGAGGTCCTTGATTCGACGGCAGATTCAGGGAGTACTGGGAACTAAGGGTTCGAGGGCTAAAGGGGGGGGAGTCCTATTGGAGCGTAGGACGGGTTCTTCTAAGTCCGACGAGAGGGCTCGGTCAGCAACCTTGCCAGTGACTCTCGATGACGCCTGTGGGTGAGTGGTCAACCCCAGAGAGCCAGACCATAATGGCGGGCGCGAGGGGCCTACCAATGGCCGCTCGGTGCATGGAGAATGCATCATTCCTTCTGGCTGTGTGTGGATCTAGATTTCAGCGAACTACAGGGGACGCAAGGGCCACTTTGAGCCTATATCGTCCCTGGCTTTGCCGAATTTCCTATCTGCCCCCGCGGAGCACGACCTGCACCCCCTTGAGGCAGGCGAGCTGGAGCTGGGTCGCGAGGTCGAGGAGGCCGAGGCCTCCGATGGCAACTGGCCTCGCCATGACATCGGCGGGAAGCCACGCCGTGTGGTCCTGTCCCCAGACGAATCTCGCCAGTCGGGCCTGCAGCTTGGCGATGGTCGGGGGTGATGGTAGGTAGCCATGCAGGTGGTGCTGGATGACAGAGCCCACCAGCGTGTTCGCCGCTCTTGCTCGCCCGACGAGGGAGAGGCCGCGGGTGAAGGGCGTCCATTTGCGGCATGCAGTCTCCAGGAGGGCCAGGAGATGCTGCTCCCGGTGGGCGACGGTGCTCCTGGGGGCGATGTCGAGCCCGAGGACCCTGATGGAGGTGGTCGACCAGGAGGCGCCGAGAGGGGAGTCGCCGCGGTTGCGCCAGGCGCCGCACCAGAGGCCAGCGCTCTTCCGGAGGTTCACGCCAACTCCGGAGGCCTGCTTGTATTCTTCGAAGACGGTCGCTACCCGTACGAAGTCACCGTCGCGATGAAATAGGAGGACGATGTCGTCGGCGTAAGCGATGACATTGCCCACGCCGAGGGTCAACTCCAGGCGACGTAGCAGCGGCCCCGTGGCGATGCTGAAGAGTGCGGCACTCACGGCACAACCCTGTCTTAGGCCGTTGAGGAGGGGGAAGGCGGTGGTGTAGAAGCCTCCTGCCCGGATGGTGGCGTCCGCCCCGGCGTATAGGATGTTGATCCAGGCCCTGAAGGCTGGTGGGAGGCGGAGGGACGTTAGCAGGGACTCCAAGAAGCCGCGGTCTAGCGAGTCAAACGCGGACTCCAGGTCTACGCCCATGACGGCCAGCGGCGAGCCCAGGGCGGTGGCCTCCTCGACGGCGTCCGTCACCATGGCGATGTTCCATGACGGGGACCTCCCGGGGACGGCGTAAGTCTGGCATTCCGGCACAAGGGTCCGCAGGTGGGGCTTGAGGCGCCGGTGAAGGATGGCGGCCAGGACCCTGTAGTCGGCCGAGGGCAGCGCGACGGGCCTGTAGCCGTCAAGGCCGCGACCTCCGCGGGCCTTGGGCACGAGGCAGATGGAGCTGCGCCGCGTCGACGGAGGCAGGGCACCTCGGAGCCGTGATGCCGCGAACACCCGGGCCAGAGCTTCCGCGAAGAAGTCCTCGCTGAAGGCGATGAGGAGCTCGCACGGCAAGCCGTCCCAGCCGGGGGCCTTTCCGCGAGGGAGGTGCTCGATGGCGTTGGCGATCTCGCTGGGGCTGATGTCCGGCCGGTGGAGCGGGTCCTCCTCACTCAGCTCGCGGGTGGTGGTGGGCGCGCTGCTGGCGATGAAGGCAGCTCCCGCAGCTGGATCGCTGGTGGGACGGGCGAAGCGGGGCTGGAAGGTCGCGAACGCCCTCCGCCGAAGCTCGGGGCCCTCGATGATGTTGTCCTGCTCGTCCCTGATGACACTGAACGGGCGTCGGAGGCGGATGGCGCGTGCTAGGTCCGGCAGCGATGGGTAGTCGGCCCGGATGGAGGAGGCCTCGAGCTGCGCCGCGATGTAACGTCTCGCCCTGTAGACGTAGCTGTCGCTGGCAGCGTGGCGCGGGTCGTGCAGGGATCTGGCCTCCGCCAGCAGCCCCGCCTTGATGGAGGTCCACCTATCCCAGAAGGTCCCGTCGTCGTCATCGTGCGCTGTGTCTTCCTCCAACTCCCGGATGTAGCCAGCCAGATGTTCGAGAGCAAGGCCCGAGCGGAGCATCGCGGCCAAGCGAGGCTGGGTGGGGGAGGAGACGGCGGTGGTGGGGCGGGCCCACCTGGAGCAGCACGAGGCGGTGGTCCGAGAGGTGGTAGTGGCTGGTCGCGTAGATGGACGTGCGATCCAGGACTCCAGCAGGGACTAGGATCCGGTCCAGGCGGTTTGATTCGACTTGGTCGCCGTGCATGGCGACTCTGGTGGGCAGGTGGGCGGCGTCGAACTGGGTGGCCACGTCGACCAGCGCGGCCAGGTCCAGAAGAGCGGCGAGGGCATCCGATGATGATGATGACGAGGGGCCCCGATCCCTGATGTTAAAATCGCCGATGATCCAGCAGGCTCCCTCCTCCTCCTGTGCCGCTGTCGCCGCCAGGAGCTCCAGTTGCCGGTTTCTCTCCCGGGGTTCATGCGCCAGATGAACGGCGATGGCCGTCATCTCCTCGCCGCGGACATCTATGGTTGCCAAGGCGATGTGGCCCGGCCACAGGATGCGTTGATGTAGCACGGCTACGCCTGGTCCGAAGACGCAGGCGAGTCCGGATCCCGAGATGGCTACGGGATGGGCCAACACAACAGCACTGTAGCCGAGGCAGAGGTCTTGGCCGCTGCCCAGATGAAATGCGTTTGTCTCCTGGACAAACGCGATGTCCACCTGATGTTGCCTGAGGAGATGACAAAGGGCAAGGCTCCTCCTCCGAGTGGCGAGCCCTCGCGCGTTGATGGTGGCGACGCGGTAGCTCATTGTTGCCGTCCCTTATGCATCGCCCCCTTGGTCTTCTGGAGGGTCTTGCGGATGGTGTGGTTGGAGTCTGGGATCGAGGCCTTGATGGTTTCGGCCACCTGGTCGAGGGCGGCGACCTGTGCTTTTGACAGCGAGGGCGCTCGCTTCTCCATTTTTCCTTTAGAGGTGAGTAGCCGCTGTGCGTCCTCGCGGTCTATACCGGGCAGCCCGTCCCAGTCGATGGAGAGGTTGGGG